CGCAAATTAGTTCAATACCACATTATCTGCTATCTCTTACTGGGAACTCTATGTGGGGTTGTATCATTGTTTGTCGAGAAATAATTCAATTTTTGGAGATATTCTATGGGGAAAACAAGAGCGTGAGGTTGTAAGTAACATAATAGAACTTTGACTTTGAGTAATACCATTAATTCACTGGAATTCAAAAAACTGTTTTTCAGTGACTCAAGACAACTCTCCTTATGTGTTTATGTTACTCGATCGGCTTTATGCTAAGAATCAGACTTTTTTGATTTTCCTCTTATGACTACCCATTCGAATGAAGAATTGAGGTGGAAGAACTGGAATTTAAGTAGACCAAGGTTAAAAATAAATTCAGTAGATACCTAGCTCTACTGCTTGCGGCATACTGCCTTGCCACTCACTGTCTCTAACTATCGATTAGCCTGCTCGTACGCAGTAGTCCTATGATTGCTTGTCGGATGATATTCACCATAAACTGCACCTTGAAATGGTTTAATGTCTAATGCACCTCTGTGACCCAACGAGCTGCATAGGATATTTTTTATCAAGCCAAAAGATCTTATCCTGCTGGAACGGTCAGAGAGAGGTTAGAGGTCAGCCAAAATCCAGCCTCCTAGTCCTCCAGATTGGGGGTTTGACTTGAATAGGCCTTTCGGTCCGTAAAATGACTTAATAGTTTTCCTTAAATGAATTCATTTTGAATTTACTCCTCACATCGTATGAATACATGTGCGCTTCCCGTGTGAAAAGTATGATTACACACTGTTTGCTCACCAAATCCGCCTGTTCTCATTCCACACACACACACACACACACACACACACACACACACACACACACACACACACACANCACACACTGCATTTCAACACGTTCCGTCTCGTGTATAAGGGTAATCCGGAATTCTCCCCGTTTGCCGGATCTACTCAGCAGAACTGAACTTTGTTTTGTCATATTTTTGGATCCAGATTCTTCTGTTTTGTTTTTCATGTATCAGAGTTGACCGGTTGCCCTGTGCAATCTGTTCAACCAAAAATGTAAGCAATTGTACTTGTGCACAGGTTAGACAATTCACCAGTACGATTATCTGTCGTGCTAAATATACATGCGCGCAAACCACGGGCAATGTGCATACCAGACGGAATACGCGCCACACACCGTACACGTCCATTTGAAAAAAAATAATACTTTCTTCTCCATCGGATGCTGTTGTTCAAGTCGCCTTTGTTGTCTGCTATCAATCCACATGCTTTTGATTCATCACGTGATCAAATTCATGTGACACTGACTCCAGTCGCCAAAATTGTGTCCGTGTGTGTTTCGCCCACGTATTCCCTTGAAACCGGTTGATTCCACTGCAGGTGATCAATTTAGATGTGGGCCATAATGGAATAAATACGATCAAGCGTACTTTCATTGGCGAGCAATATGGGCATTCGAACCAGACTGATTCTTTTCGTAAAAAATGCGGAAGAAATACTTGTAGTTAGCTTTCAGTGAGAAACATATCACATCTAATTGTTTGATTGCCTTCTGTTCGAGAACATGCTCCACAAAGACCCCGGAAGTCACATATTCACGACCCTTCACAATAAATACACGAATATCTCATTCACCTAAACGGTACATCATAATGTACAAGATAGAAAACGTGCATTGCCCACAGTTAGTGAAACATTTCCTCTCGTCTGTCACCGGGAAACTGCTTTATGATAAACAAAATATACGACTTTTCCCAGTCCAGGGCAACACTCTTCTCGAATATTACTTTTTCATCTACTGGTGTAACTGACTGATAATCACCATGAACCGTTGGGAGTCTTAGTCTCGGTCACCTGGTGTATACAGACCATCCAGTGATCGTAGGATCAGTATTCCAAGTCGTTTATCAACTGTCCCTCCTTCCAAGCACGACAGTTTTAAGGGTACGAAATAAGGTGTCAGTTACCCTCGGCAAACCAGAGGTAACCAATCCGCTTCCCGATATTTATCGATTTATCGGCTATCTTCTGCGCACAATAGATTTGCATAGGCCTTGGTTTTACTCGTCCTCGTACACACAATAATACGACACATAGTATGGAACTGAGTTGATGGATGGGCTAAAATGTCCAGTCAGCATTTGACAACCCGTTTATCCGCTCAGTCCAATTACCATTTTTCCAGAGCTGTTTCTCCCCAGGTAGCCCCTGAAGAGTGGACAAGCAAAATTCGGTGGGAATTGCACTCAAAACTCATCTGAACACCATTTCTGAAATAAATTCATGCGGTATTCCCCCGCACGTTGTACAGTGTAACTTTTGCTGTGTGATCACCGAAAAGCATATTTTGAAAGCATTCAACCAAACTCATCGGAACCTGATCGTATGTGAGAGTCACCCTCAAGTAAACCACATCAAGGCATAATCAAGCTCCCACTCGATATTGTTTTCTAGCTGTTTTTCAACCCACAGCAAAATTTCAATGCATTTTCTCAAACAGGTTCGCAATGTATCCTGTTTCTGGTTGCTTAAAATCACTCTGTATTTGTATTGGATCGTACGACCGACAGTTTGATAGGATCATCACGAAGCACTGTATCTACAAATCACGTGCGTCGATCACACCGTGCCGTTCAGTTCGCTTTCACTGGCGTGCTTTGAACCCTAGGGTCTGAGGTTTGAACCCCACCAACACTAACTAACTTTGGTGGTACGTAGGTTCGCTGCCGCTCAGCTCAGTACCACGCTTAACCTTACGTAGTTTGCCTCTCTAAGTCCCTGAGCTCAGGTTGCCGGTTGCCATGAATGAATAGCAGGTCCTCGTGAATATGAGGTTTATCTTTTCTGTGGTGTATATATATAGCACGTAAGTGTGATAAAAAACTGGGAGTAACGAGCAATTTATGCATGCAACGTCAGCGAATCAAGGTCCTTGCAACAGCCGTTGAGGTACTCACGACGTCGCATAGCATTTCTTTTACCCACGCACAGTGGGAAAAAGTATCTTCCGAAGCAGATTCATGAATAAAATGATGCAACACGTTGTATTTCGCTACTGGAAAAGAGGCTGGTGATTATAAAAATTAACAATCACGGAGCCTGGGCAGACGCCTGGTATCTTTCTAATCGAATCAGCGTCCGAGGAACAAGAACTATTGTCTTTTGTCAGCCGAAGATGGAAATCACGAGTGGAATACTTTTCCCGCACCGAAATGTAGATCTGCGACTACTCAGTAGTATTTTCATCGTGTTCCGAGGCGTGACAGATGTTCAACCTGTGAGACGCTGAGGGCACCGCCATGAGTTTGGCAGCAACAATCCTGCGTTCGCAAGGCGCTTTAACTATCGGTCGGCGATCTACATCACCTAATTCTCCAGCCACCGTAACATGTGAGACTGATCTTTGCCATGTAGGAAACCAGTGGATAAATCTTGGGATAGTGAAGATCTGAGAAGCTAAGCGGCTGAATTCAAAGGCCCCTGATGTAGATGTGGGAACTGTGGGACAGTGTATTCAGCATTTTGAGTAGAACGACGACTACGAATGGGAGTGCGGTAGAAGTGAATGACGAAATAGCGCTTCCAAAAACAATCAACTTCCACTAATAACAGCGACTACCAATCGCTCCTCTCCTGGACATTTGGCGCCACACTAATTCACCCCCTTTAGATTTAGTACAGTTTTAAAGTTACACTTTCAAGTAGAGTTCCTGTTTTTGCGAGAGCCAGCAAGGAACAAACATCCTTGGATAACGTGACTGTGTTTGTATGTCGTTCCTCGTCTTGGACCATACCATTTGAATCTCAATATAATGCGGAACCCTTGCGACTTCGTGGGTGGAAGAATTAGGGCGAACGATAATCCGTAACCCCAAGAGCTTGAGAGAGGTTTGAAGAAAAAATAGAAAGTAGAGCCAAGAAACCAAACTTGGAAAATTCCACCCAGCTTTACTTTGGGAATAAATGCGTTTATTATTTGCAGAGATACTCAAACATGTTGCTGGGCGGCCGTAGTCGAGTTGTAAGCTCGTCTAAATGACCACATGGAAATCTTAAGTTCGAACCGCACCACCGCCGCCCATTATATGTGTTCCCCTAAGCAGCATTGTATGGCCGCTGTCCCTTTGATGAAAAGTCGTTGTAAATTTCTCCAATCACTGAACAAAAAATTAAGTAAAAACATTTATTAAAAAGACTAACATGTTTGCTTATCCCAAACGTGTACCGCGACGTTTCGCAGTCGCAATTGAGTCTGAACCCACAACGAATATGACGCGTGGATACGTGACTGGATTATTGTTCAAACACGTTTACGGAGGAGGAGATTTTCAAATCTATGCTCATCGTTTTTCTTTTAATCTGAAACTTCTAGAAGTTGTTCATTTAAGCTTAATAATATTTCTCCTTCGTTAGTTGTTTTTTGTCGTCCGACTATACAAATTCGTTCAAAGTACAGACATGCTTATGGATGGAACCTGGCAGATCCCTTTTCCAATACAACATTCCAGATGATGATGGTGATATAATCCACCACCCCCATCCTATAAACAATCGAGAACACCGCTTCGTTTCAGAAGGCTCCTAACTGCCCCAACGACCAAAAGTCAACCTCAAATCATAATGCAATGCCTCCTAGAACTGTCAGACAACTTTCAAGTTCATCATAAGATACATATATATGTAACGGATTATGCAGTTAGTCATCATTCAGTCAATTGGGGTTTCAGTTGTTTCAATATTCTTGAAGTCTACATTTTCACAAACATATTTCGAAAGTGCAGTATCTCTGATATTCATTGACCTTCATTGCTTCTCGTTCGATTGCTACTACTCGGGCTCCAAAATCGTCCCGATTTGTTGATCCGAATATTCTGGTTCTTTCTCTTTCTTTCTTCCCTTCTACTCTTCTCTCACTCACTGGCGTTTGATCATCGGTACGTTTCATCTCAGCTGTTTCTGTCCCCCCCCCCGTTCCCGTCCTTCCTCTCTCTGTGTGCGTGCATGCATTGACAGCCTGGACAATTGTTAAGCGACCAGCTGGATGCGTTAACTCTCGACAGGAATGACAATCATCCACGTGACAAGTTTGCTCATTCACCCACTCCTACCCCATCACTTTCTGTGTCCAATGATTTGTTCGGTAGTGGAGACTTATCGTGGAACGAGCAACCGACCACGGATCCCTGGGCACCACTTTCGGGTAGGTCACATTGTCGATCACTTGTTGCTCATAACTATTCTGAGAGTCTGTCATGTCANNNTCATGTCACATTTATTGTCTGCTGTGTTTGGTATAGAAACTTAACTGTGTGATCTTAGCAATTCGTGTAAAAAATGGGAGATGTGCACCGTTGCAACGGCTAACACCAAAGTTAGCCGCTACCACCGAGGATTTATTGAGGTAGCTTTCGAGCCGAAATAGAACGAGACCAATGTACTGGCTAAGGTGATTTAAACCAGTATTTCTTCAGCCATTTTTCCAACTGTCTATAACGTCTGTACTTTCGGAAATGCGAACATACTCCTTGCTAAAAACTTGTGCTTTCTCTCTCGCTCACTTTCTTCTGTTGCAGTTTTATGGAGTAGAACACCCCCTGATTGTGTGCTATACTAATTCCATCCGAAGCATCACCGCGTGTTGCAGACCACGGCTGCCATATTTATCACACGTTTGGTTTGGTCGTACATTCCCGTTTTATTTGAACAGGGTTAAAGTCCACTGATTTGGGTTTCTGCTGTAGATTTTTATCCTCGTAACTCAAGCGATACTTGTCTAAATGCAAACATCCGTATCTTTTAACGAATGATGATCAGAAAATGGCCATGCACTGTTGTGGCCGATGCCAAAAGTGTGCATACACAAGCACACACACACGAACGATGGCATAAAATGGAAAATCTGGTGTTCGAGGCGCAGTCTCACCGCTTCACATGCATTTATTTGTCCATTGGTAGTCTTGAACTGATCGCTTTCCTAGTCCTTACCACGTACTTTTCATTAGTCAATAAAATGAAATGTTTTTATTCGTGGCATTGTCCGCAATCATCTTCAAGCTATGGAAGCTGCAAGGTTCTAAGCTCCACTTCATCCTCATTTCATCTACACCACCAAACTTCCATATTCCATATTCAAGCTAACCGGTCTCGATCTCACTCTTTCCGGTCGCTTCTCGTTCTATTTTCGGAACTATAAAAAGTCGAAGTTTTATCAGGGGACTTATTATTCACCTCATGCTTCTCTTTTCCCGTAGGATATTTGCACAGTTGAATCGTTCCCCGCCAAAAAATGATAAAATGTAACATGGAGTTCCGGGTAGGATAATATAGTCTTCAACTAATTTGTGTTATTTTAGTTGCTTCTGAATGTGAAATGTGCCAGGGTGTAATTAAGTCTCGACTTGAAAGGTTAAGCAATTGGTGCAAAGACAACAACTGACTGCAAAAGATTGACGCCGTTATTCCAGTCGACACTGTAAAATCGGATCCTATTGAACAGTTATACCCAATTCCTTGCCACTTGAGTCGTGTGACAGCTGGTGATTTCCGAGGAGATGCGATAATCTACTCCTGTGGTGTTGAGTTAAATCATTGCATTTAAAAATGTTGAATTCAATGTCGTTCTCCATAGATCACTGATAAGCAGCGTTAAACGTTTGTTTCAGTGATAGCGAGCCATCGGGTTCTGTTACTATATTCCAGATTTTGGCGTCATATGCAAACAGTATTGATTTTCTTCCCAACACATTCGGAGAATCATTTATGGATGCGAGGAAAAGTCGGGGACAAAGTGCAGACCGTTGTGGAACACCATGGGTTACGTTGCTAGAACCGGATAGGGATTCAGAAACAAATTGATGTGGTCTGTCTTCAGAAGAATGCTCTAATCCAATCAAGCACGAAACCTCGACTGCCGTAAATGTAGGGCTTCTGTAACAAAATTTGGTGGTTTACTTGATCGAATGCTTTTGAAAAGTTCGCATAACACATCCACCGCGTCCCGTTCATCTCAAACAAGAAACCCTGAACCCTGCCAAATGGAAGAATGAACCCTTTTGAAAAAATAACTCGCCTACTACATCCATACTTTCTCGGGACTAGTTGTTAGTGACAACGAATGTGAGTTATCTTCCCTAGTGCATTGCCATTCTGTCCGCATCGCTGGTGATTACCGTACACATGATCTTTCACTGCCACAACTGCCAGACAGTTCACATCACGGTCTGTATGAGCTCTTTTGTTTGTGTGTTTCGAAGGGGTCACACTGAGCACAGTGTAACAGAGCCAGACTTACTGGGCCTCTGGTAAGTTGTTGCCAGTTCTATTCAGTCCGCGAGCACTTTCCACTGCACTGTCATCAGTCAGTCTGTCCTCTGTAAACAGGTTTATCAATGCATGAATGCGTTAGTGAACACGCTTTCCGTTCTGCGAGAGTGGCTTTTCGAATCATCATATGTATTTGGAAGATGAGCAAGAAATACATTTTTCGGTGACACCCGCACTCAGTTGTGATAGTACTCAAAGAATGTGGTGTTTTTGGTAGCGTGTGTTTGGCTGTTCCAATAAGAGTTCTTCAAAGTCCGTATGTGCCGTTTGGAACCCATCATCCAACTTGTGATTATCATACAGCCATTTCGAACTGAGGAAACATATGAGTTTTCCTCTTATGAATCGTAGGCTTTTCAACAATACTGACCAATTTATAGGGTGAGTGGAACGTGTTCTCTTGCACGCCTCTAGCATCATTCAACTGAAACTGATACACTTCATTAGAAATCTGCATTTCAAACATCCACTTTATTTCGTACTGTTGTGTCTCTCGGACTATCACCGAATCGTGTCTCGCGTGATTCGCTGTAATTGTTTCTTTTCCGCTTCGTTTTCTTCTGTACCAAGTTGTAGTTGTGCAGGCACCGTGCCTGTTCGNCGCAAGCAGATGATATATACTCCTGTATCCAATGTTTTTATAACCGGATGCATCTTATCTAGTAAAATATCCAAAAGATGCATTATTCTCCTCGAGGTCATTTTCTTCCTGTGTTGGGATTCTTTAGATTCTATTTGAGTACCTCGATTGGGATGTTCTCGTTTTCTCATCATTGCATCGTGACTATTACCGTTATTACTACTTATTTCATTTTGTGCAGATCCTGTGGCAGAGAATCGTGTCAGTCCGCTGACTCCGAGATCCACAGCGGATGGCGGCACGCTCACCCAGTCCGATTCGAATCAACCCACTCGCACGGTCTTTGACGAATTGGCTCTGGTTGATTTCACTCAAACGCAGCGCGAGACAGATCGTGTTCCGACCACGGGCGGCACGGTTTCGCCCGGAACGACGTTCGTCGAATCGCGACCACAGAACACGAATCCATTTGTGAACGGGACTCCACTAGCCAATGGAGACTCGAATGTGAGTGTTTATGCAGAACGGAGCATGGAATCCGGTCCGGTCGCTAACTTTTTGGGAGAATACTCCAGTTTGGTCGATTTGGAAAACCTAATGCACCCACAATTCCGTAAGTAGTTTAAGCCAAGCATATCTCTGCTGCACTGCTCCGCCACATGTGTGTTCTCTTTTTTATCAATAGTGTTGATATATTACTGATCCAATTATTGGTATTCAATTGAAAAAAAGCGGAAACCATTTTTGGCCCCATTTGAACTTACTGAACTTAACATATAGTTCACACTAACATCGGCTGGATTCTCTGCTTATAGTCTCAACGTGACTAGTAGTGCAATATCATTTTATTGTATCGTGTTCCATGGTGAATTTCATCGTGAGTAGAGCAACTGAACTGTAAAATGAAAAGCTGGGATGCACCAGACAGATGTTTCGACCTATTTGGGACTCACTAGCGACATTGCGAATCCATCAAAATCCGGGACCTCACAGATAGAGTGTAAGCATACTACTCACTGAACCACCACCGAGCCGCTGATTAAACCGGTTGTCGGTTAGGTTAATCTCGGTTGTGAGTTTTCAGATACATTACAGTGAAACCCGCAGGGTACCGACACCAAGCAATGGAAACTGAAACTGAATGATAATGCGGCTTTTGTTTGTACCTTCGGTAATTTTGGTTGAGGAGTGTTGGTTCTACTGGGGCACCAGAACCACTGTAGAAAGTTAACTTAGGACGCCTTCAACCCGATCCTTCAACAAAATAATCTATCCCATCAGGCAGCGGCGTTAGTTAACAATCCACAGAGAGTTAAAGTTTGTATTGCCCATCGCGACCCTGAATAAAGATGTTTGGGCAAACCCTACACCTCATCGTGGCTGATTCAGACTCGGGGTTGGCACTTTCCTTTATTTGAGTTATAACTGACGATGGCTTGTGAACCGTCCTTCAGCGGAACCAACATCACAGTTGTCTGTGATGCACTTTGTAAGCCTCTTGCATCGGGAAAATACGCTTGCCCGAGCACACTGTACCAACAGCACTTTCCAACCATCCTGCATTTATAGTTTCATCCCTGTTTTAACTTTATGCCATTTATAAGACGGATTAAACTATTACTGTTTAATCTCTAAGCCTTACTCTAGGACATAGGAACAAATGGCAACCAAGAGTTGATATTACAAATGCGAAAGTTTAACTACAAGAAATAAACAAGTGCGTCCTCCACACTCCATTTTTAAGTTAAAAACGATAGAACTTTGACAGTTAACTGCTTCGTCTTACGCATTCTCTATTCGAGTTCTCTGGGGTCTCAAATAACAGTAGCATCTCTGGTTCCAAAATGCGCTAGATTTCCCCCGTAGAACAGTGGCGACCGTTATTTCCGCATCAACAACCCAACTCTCTTTTGCCTGCAATTATGATTACATCGCGGTGACTAAGCAAGGGCATCCTCCTTAACACGATTGCTAGTATTTCCACCCATGCATGTAAAACTATTACGATAGATTAGTTGAACCATTGCAGCTAGTGGATCCGACATCGGCTGGAATGGCAATTCGGAATCCGGGCACATTTCCATGAAAACACCTTCTGCCCAGTAGATCACACCTGATGTATTGTAAAGTATGGAGATGCAGACTACCATCAAAGTCGGTACATCGTCTGAGAGAAAAGCTAAAGTCAAATAATTTAAGTATTCTCCATTCGCATTTCAAATGCGTGTTTGTGAAGAGCAAGAACGTAAAACACCGATAACATTGGTGATTCATCACTCGATGATTATTTCGTTTTGCAACTCATTCCCTTGGAGTTCACTCGCCTTCCACGTTTGGGATTTGAAGTTAGTGGTAATCCACATAGTCAAATATCTTTCGGTAGTACTAGTTCGCAGTTGGCCCAACGGATTCAAGAGCATCCTCCGGTCTGGTTGAGAAAAGAACTAATAAAATCTTATTATAGTTCACTTGCGGAGCATATGGTAGATCTCAAAAGGTCATTTAAGGTCATTTACAGAACCCCGAAGAAGATTCACTCAGAACTGTGAAAACAAAAGCGGATTATCCACTTATTCTGGTTATCCTGATCCGACGATATGAAATAATCAACCTTTGTTCAGAGAATCAAACGTTGACTGAATAGTCGTATTACATAATCCATTTAACCAAGTGATCTCAACTCTGTAACCTCTCCTCCCATCCCAGTTTTTTGTGAATTGTGACTTCTGTTGCTATCCCGTGACTATATAATTATGATGTGTAGTTTCAGTTTTTACAACCATTAACCATGCACTTTCGTGCGCCGGTTTTGGTTGCTGTCTTTTGGTGCCCCATTTGGATAAAAGAGTAGAATGAAGATTGGAATATTGAAGACAAATTCAATCGGAAGATGGATAATTCATGTAAAGTGGTTTTAGGAGAGTAATGAGTGGACACACGAGAGCCATATCACTCATCTGTAACCATCGCATGAGTAAACGAAGAGAATTCTGCGCTTCAATGTTCCTTTGTATATGTCTTTCTGTCGATCACAGTTTGCTCTGTTTCAAATGCAATCGTGTGATGCATGATTCCAAATGCATGTAGTCAATGGATGGTGATGATGATGTTCAATTTTTATCGTGGACAGAGCAAAGAAAAATGGGAACTGAAAATCAATAGAGCGAGCACTGACTGTACACAGCTTTTTTGACGTTTGTTAGTTCCCATCAGTACCCGAGCAAATCTATCCGGCCAACGGAGCATCGCGAAACCCGGGTCGAAACAACCGTACGACACTTGCCAAATTGACTCGTTGTATTTCTGCACTGTTTCCTTGTAATCGAAAGATCTCAAATTGCTTTCTTTCTCTCATCAATATGGATACTAGCGTAAAAACATCGTACTTTTCTTGTACGTGTTTTTTCCTGATTCGTCCGGAAACGCCGCACTGTTATGTCTGCTCATTGAACATCAGACACATGAGAACAGATCACCAAGCACAGCGCGCCAACCCGGTGTGTTTAATTGTTGCCTTGATCGATTTGTTCACGCGTTTGGTCAGTGTACCCCGCGCCATGTGCTGTTGACCGGGGGGAAGTGTGCTAATCTGTCCTTACGCTTTTCTCTCTCTGTCATTTGAGCACTATATGCACCCCGGTCACGCAGTTTTACCTTTCCTATCCGGACTTCATTTCTCGTGGGACGTCCTGAACTGATTTGTCTGTTCGAAGCGAGTTAGGCCCACCTTTGAAAAACCTTATCGACCCTGGGTGAATGACTGTACTGAGACAAACCTAAGAACATGGTTATAATTTGCTCATGAAATTAATCGGGCTATCCAATAACTTGTTCTTGGGCATGTAATGAGGAAATTTGATAATTTCCTTTTTGCACTAAAAGTATAATTAAATCTCTTACGAAAAATCCTTTATGCAGTCTAATCAGTCCCACCACACGAAGACGCCATCGAAATCCGTGACGGTTCGTGAGATACCTTTCGAGTGTGGGGTCTGACGATCAAGTGGTTCAAGTTGCTGTCACTGATATACTGTGGGCCCCAAGGTCCAATGTTCCCATTTATTAGCTTAATGCTGTTCTATAAACTAGCTAAATTCACGCTCATGGCGCACAGTAGGTCCTACTGAGAAATCATTTATCAGAGAGTTGATCACTGTCTGTTCCTTTGTCCGGTACATTCCATGGCACTGACAGACGAGGGCTATATCAGGTCAAATTAATATTTAGCATGCAGCTGGGAGCTTACTTAGATAGCCCGATAGCCACGACATTCGGTTCTTCATAACTCTAGTCGTCCTTTCAGTTTTCCCGTTGGGTGCCGAGATCTGGTCTCTGTGGGAGAATAATTGAACCGGACTATCGGTGTTCGCTTGCCATTGTGTACATCACATTACTAGAGTCTGGCGGGCTAATAGGACAAGCAATGCTGAGGTTTGGTTGTCGTGTTAGCTCACAACAGAAATGCTTCGCCTTCACAGGTTAAAATGTTTGGGGCCTGCGTTAGACATGTAACTTTAGTGACTCCCTCCGCGTGGGATATTTGCCGACTCATGTAATCGGTTGAAGAAAACCAATGTGGTCAATCTAAATCCTGCCATGGGGGAATAAAACGCCAGACCATAGGGCTTGGCCATACGATTCGTGTTCGGCTCTCCGTTTCAGAACCTCAGGGCCAATGTTATCGCTTTTTTGAAACAGTGATATGGATTAGTGTCGGCTGCCGTGTATCCGTTCAATTTCTTGATAAGTTTTTTTCAACCGTGATCAGTACTCTTCCCCTGATACTGTTCCAACTTCTAAATCCTTCTCCCTACGCCTTGGTACTAATGCTTAGTCAACAGACAACAACTAAAACCACTGCTCGAAAGCGCAAGGCCTTTTGATGGAGCCAAATGAAGCGAACCCATTTGGGGACAAAATGGTGGGTTCGATTATCTGAAAATAATCTCCTAATAGTATCGTTTTCCATCTTTGACACCGTCACTCTCGATTTATCGCGCCAGTCTGATCAGTGTACTTTCAGTTGGTTTATTCTCCAGCTATCAGGAATGCCTAACAATCGTTTTCGCTCGCTCGCACACACACACGAATCGATTACTTCCTCCTGCTCCCCTCTACACCTGATCGTTTCTGTCTATTTTCCACCTGAACATGTTTTTCCCCATTACTGTGTGTCGACCTGGCCATTATGCGATTGGTGTTCCCATCGGGTCGAAATCGGACTGCACCGGTATCGTAAATCCTGCACTGAAAGCATCAACGATTGTTTAATGCCAACTAGAAACAGCACATCCCCAACAATTGGAAAACTTCAGGGCTGCTCTTGGTACTCTTTTTAATGCGTGCAAGTTTTCGCAGCAAACTGGGTTAAAGCTAGTCGGTGATATTCAGCGGATATAACTAACGGAGATGGGGACTAGAAATGACATTTTCTTCTTGCCTATCATTGACAAGCGACTCATTCTATTTATTCGATGCAACTCCGAGGAAAAGGGAAAAATGATGACCATATGTGCATATGGCTTTCGAGTGTGTACTCTGCAAAACACATCACACGTTGTCATTACATTTCATCGCTTAGGTGTATAAATCGGGAATTTGTTGGGCCCATTTTGTCAGAGATCTAGACAAAGTCGATCGTGCATACGGGTTTTGTGATACGGCTCGCCAACTTTCATGTGGAAATCGGAATTTCAGTTTCATGATTATATGTATGGGATGAAAGCATGCTTCTTTGTGTATCGTAATTCTGTTCTCTAAAGGACAGATCTCTCTCATCAAGTGTTTGCACGCGTGCGTAACATCCATCTTGTATATGCCAGCTTTAAATTCGTTGAGACCACTGGATGTCCATGAGCAGTCCTGTCAGTTCTAAGCGGTGCAGAGGTCTGATCGGGACGGATGGAAGCTTAACGCAGGTCATTGGTAATCAAAGTCCGTGGTCTACGCTAAATAATGTGACTAGCAGTACCTAGGCTGGGCAAACCGTATCATGTAATCGTTGTCGATCTTCATATCTTTTGATAAATGAGTTATATATATATATATATCACGCGTATGAGTTCAGGCTATTTACTAAATAAGTTAATCTTTAAAACATAAGAAAAGGTTTATTATTTGCTAATGGGTGGAATTATGGGGTTGTCCTTTCATCGAATACTTTAATTTCCGGTCGTAACCACCTGCCTTATTCATCTGCTTGACGTGCATAAACATGGCACGTGCTTCTCTGGCTGTCCCTCACAATCATTTCACAGACTAAAACCGAGTTTTTCCTTCCCTTATTACCTCGCACTCTGAACGAGAGCTATTTTTTGGAGAGAACAGATGAAATAGTCTGTTGTACGTCTTCCGAATACCACCACTACTGCTGGTGGTGGGCTCCGGCTTGTATTGCATGCTTTGTGTGTTTGTGTTATCCGCCCAGTGTCGCAACCACCTTGATCGATCAATACACAGCCCACTTCGATCGATCTTCGGACACCTGTTTTCTGACACGAACATCCAAGCTAGTTTATAGCTATCTTCAAGATTTTTCCCGGTAGGACGCAGTATAGTGACGTTAACCAATTTGATTATCATTAAAATGGTCCAATGCAACTCAACATTCTAACTGCAAATATTTTTAGCCTCTTTGGTCAACTTGAATGAAACAGATAGCAGAATTGATATTGGCCGCCGATTTCACGTTCTCCCAACAAGCTGTCTACTCGCATCAAATGTAATGTTACTAAAAGAATGGTGTAAATGGACGTGTATATAACTACGGTAGATCAATTAAACTGTTGGCTGTTGCGTAATAACCAAAGTCATTTGCATTTGAGCAAACAGATAGGTGGGGTATGTCTAGAACGCTGGAATGAAAAAATTATGGGCATAGAAACGGTCACTTAAGGAGAAACGTTCCACTGGGAGCTAACATCGTTACATAATACCAAATAGTTTGCGATGGTCGTCGCTAGTCGCCACATCACGCCCAATACTTTCCTCTCAATCGTTCCGTATACTCATCGTAACAACCCACCTTGTTTATTTTCATTTTACCTAACCCGTTCGGCCCGATTGACTGACCGATTTTCCATTGAATAATCTTGCTTCATCCGTTCTCCTTAATTTCACCGTTTTTATCTAGAATTGTTTTATTTGGTCTTCAACTTTATGTCGCTCCCAGCCGATCAGTTTTCAATAAGTAGTCCTTTATATACTCACATCTTTTATTCCAGCTCCTTTCTGTCTTGCCACCACCCTATCCGTTCGCTCAACAGTTAATGGGTTTAGTAATCGCGCGTATTTCGTGTTTCGTTCGGTCTGTTGCCTTACCCGAACTCATCCATGTTTTTTTTGTTACTCTCCGCTCGGTTGCTCTGTCATCTTTCTCTTATATGCATAGTTTCCTTATCATCAGATGTGTCTCGTTATATGTTCTCTATGGATTGCGTAAAATGCATGATTGTGCTCCCGTCCCATCCAGTCTCTCCGAGCGCCAGCCTATAGAGACCAGTAGGCCAACAACTTTTGCCCACTTGTTAATGTTTGCACACGGTTATGTGCTGAAACTCCTCCATCCATCTCGTATGCCGT